CCCTTCCCCCCCCTTTCCCCCATTTTCCCCCATTATTTCCCCATTTCCCCCCATTTCTCCCCCATTCCCCCCATTTTTCCCCCATTATTTCCCCCATTTTCCCCATTTTTCCCCGTTTCCCCGTTTCCCCGTACCCGGTTTTGAGGTGCTGCAGCGCGTCCTCCACGCCGCGCTGGTTGTAGCGCACCATGTAGCTGTGCATGGCGGGGTAATTGCTGCGGATGTTCTTCTCCGTGCTGCCGTTGGGCACGGTGCCGAACTTCAGCGGGGGGTACTGCTCCTGGGGCCGCTGGAACTGCGCCCAAAACACCCCAAAAACACCCCAAAATCACCTCCAAAACCCCAAAAATCCATGGGAACGGGTAACAGCAGACCTGGGCCAACAGCGACCCAGAAACAACCAAAGGTGACACCCAAAAGTGACACCATGTCCCCAAAAACACCTCCTGAACTTCAGCGGGGGGTGCTGCTCCTGGGGCCGCTGGAACTGCGCCCAAAACACCCCCAAAACACCCCAAAATCACCCCAAAATCACCTCAGAAACACCCAAAAGTGATGCTCAAAAGCGACACCAGGCCCTCAACAGCTCCATGAACTTCAGCTGGGTTCTGCTTCTGGGACTGCACCCCATAACACCCCAAAACACCCCAAAAGCACCCCAAAATCACCTCAGAAACCCCAAAAATCCATGGGAATGTCCAAAACCACAGCTGGGCCAGCAAACATGTAAAAGTGACACCCAAAAGTGACACGCAAAAGTGACACCAGGCCCTCAACAGCTCCATGAACTTCAGCTGGGGTCTGCTTCTGGGACTGCACCCCATAACACCCCAAAACCCCCCAAAAGCACCCCAAAATCACCTCGGAAACCCCAAAAATCCATGGGAATGTCCAAAACCACAGCTGGGCCAGCAAACATGTAAAAGTGACACCCAAAAGTGACACCCAAATGTGTCCCCCAGTGTCCCCTCAGTGTTCCCCCCAGTCTCCTCCAATGTCCCCCCATGTCCCCCCGGTGTCCCCATTGTCACCTTGCGGTCGCTGAGGCCGGACACGGTGTCCACGTACTCCTCCTGGATCATGAAGGCCGCCAGGTTGGCGGTGTAGCTGGCGAGGAAGATGACGGCAAAGAAGGCCCAGACCAGCACCATGATCTTGCTGGTGGTGCCCTTGGGGTTCTCCACCGGCACCGAGTTGTTGAACACCAGCGCCCACAGCAGCCAGATGGACTTGCCGATGGTGAAGGTGGAGCCACCCGCGCCTGGGGGACAGGGGACAGCAGGACAGGGTCACACGGGGTCACCTGGGGTCACACAGAGTCACCTGGGGTCACACAGAGTCACCCAGGGACAGAGGACACCACGGGGTCACACAGGTGTCACCAAGAGCAGCCAGATGGACTTGCCAATGGTGAAGGTGGAGCCACCTGCTCCTGAGGGGACAGGGGACATGGGGACAGGGTCACACGGGGTCACCTGGGGTCACACAGAGTCACCTGGGGTCACACAGAGTCACCCAGGGACAGAGGACACCACGGGGTCACACAGGTGTCACCAAGAGCAGCCAGATGGACTTGCCAATGGTGAAGGTGAAGCCACCTGCTCCTGAGGGGACAGGGGACATGGGGACAGGGTCACCTGGGGTCACCTGGGGTCATACAGAGTCACCTGGGGTCACACAGAGTCACACGGGGTCACCTGGGGTCACCCGGGGTGGATCATGAAGGCCGCCAGGTTGGCGGTGTAGCTGGCGAGGAAGATGACGGCAAAGAAGGCCCAGACCAGCACCATGATCTTGCTGGTGGTGCCCTTGGGGTTCTCCACCGGCACCGAGTTGTTGAACACCAGCGCCCACAGCAGCCAGATGGACTTGCCGATGGTGAAGGTGGAGCCACCCGCGCCTGGGGGACAGGGGACAGCAGGACAGGGTCACCTGGGGTCACATGGGGTCATACAGTCACCTGGGGTCACACAGAGTCACACGGGGTCACCTGGGGTCACCCGGGGACAGGGGACACCAACACCAAGAGCAGCCAGATGGACTTGCCGATGGTGAAGGTGGAGCCACCCGCTCCTGGGGGACAGGGGACATGGGGACAGGGTCACACGGGCTCACACAGGGTGACACGGAGTCACCTGGGGTCACCCGGGGACAGGGGACACTGGGATGGTCACAAGGTGACACAAGGGGACACAAGAGGACGAGGAGATGCCATCAATGCCCAGAGCAGGCGATGGATTTGTCACTGGTGAACGTGGAGCTCCCCAGTCCTGGGGGTCACCTGGGGACACGGGGGTGACACGGGGACAGGGGACACTCACGCTGGCCGCTGGCCAGGCTCCGGTTGTAGCCCACGGGGCTGAAGTACTCGAAGATGAAGACGGTGACGGCCACCACGGTGAGACACATGACGAACATCATCACCCACACGGCCGGGCTGTACGGCTCTGCGGGGACAGGGGGACATTGGGGACATCAGGGGACATGGGGACATCAGGGGACATGGGGACACAGTGAGACACAACCTGAACATCATCACCCACATGGCCTCTGCGGTGGGGGGCTCTGCGGGGACATTGGGGACATCAGGGGACATGAGGGGACACTGGGTGACACGGGGGATACAGGGACATGGGATGACACAAGGACATGAGGGGACACACATGGGGACATGGAGGGCAGTAGGGCTCTTTGGGCACGTAGGGACATTGGGTTTGGGGGATTCCAGTTGGGTTTTGGGGGTCCCAAACAGGATTTTGGGGTTTTGGGGTACCCAGGAAGGCGGAGGGGGACACGGTGCCGTTGCTGCGGGACACCATGACGCTGATCCCAATTGGGATTGGGGGATCCCAGTTGGGTTTTGGGGGATCCCAGTTGGGGTTTTGGGGGATCCCAGTTGGGTTTGGGGGATCCCAGTTGGGATTTTGGGGTTTTTGGGTTGGGATTTGGGGTTTTTGGGGTACCCAGGAAGGCGGAGGGGGACACGGTGCCGTTGCTGTGGGACACCATGACGCTGATCCCAATTGGGATTGGGGGATCCCAGTTGGGTTTTGGGGGATCTTAGTTGGAGTTTTGGGGATCTGGGGTTTTTGGGTTGGGATTTGGGGTTTTTGGGGTACCCAGGAAGGCGGAGGGGGACACGGTGCCGTTGCTGTGGGACACCATGACGCTGATCCCAATTGGGATTGGGGGATCCCAGTTGGGTTTTGGGGGATCCCAGTTGGAGTTTTGGGGGATCCCGGTTGGGTTTGGGGGATCCCAGTTGGGATTTTGGGGTGTTTGGGTTGGGATTTGGGGTTTTTGGGGTACCCAGGAAGGCGGAGGGGGACACGGTGCCGTTGCTGCGGGACACCATGACGCTGATCCCAATTGGGATTGGGGGATCCCAGTTGGGTTTTGGGGATCCCAGTTGGGATTTTGGGGATTTGGGGTTTTTGGGGTACCCAGGAAGGCGGAGGGGGACACAGTGCCGTTGCTGCGGGACACCATGACGCTGATGCCAGTTGGGATTGGGGGATCCCAGTTGGGTTTTTGGGGATTTGGGGTTTTGGGTTGGGATTTGGGGTTTTTGGGGTACCCAGGAAGGCGGAGGGGGACACGGTGCCGTTGCTGCGGGACACCATGACGCTGATGCCGGTCTCCACGAAGGGCACGGAGAAGTCGATGATCTCGGAGCGCTCCTCGTTGATGGTCAGGGAGCCGATGGCCATGTCGGCGCGGCGGTAAAACACCTGGGCGGGGCAGGGCGTGGTCGGGGGGGGCGTGGCCAGAGGGGGTGTGGTCAGGGGACCTTTTTTTGTGTCCCCCCTGGCCCCCTGATGGGGGCTCTTCCTGATCCAGAGGGGTCTCTCCCCAGGCCTCATCACCATGGGGTCTCCATGGTGGATTCTGGAGTATTTTTGGGGTACAGAGGTGCATTTTTGAGGTGTGGGGATGTATTTTTGGGGGTTCCACCTCTCCCTCATGCCCTATCCATCCCCTCTTTGGTTGCCCTCCCTGACCCTCCCTGGGGGTCTCTCCACAGCCCCCATTGCCATGGGGTCTCCATGGTGGGTTTTGGGGTATTTTTGGGGTGCAGAGGGGTAATTTTGGGGTACAGGGGGGTATTTTTGGGGTACAGAGGGGTATTTTGGGGGTTCAGAGGGGTATTTTTGGGGTATAGAGGGGTATTTTTGGGGTGCAGGGAGGTGTTTTTGGGGTCCCACCTCCCACCTTGCTTGCCCTCCCTGGGGGCATCTCTCCCCAGCCCCATTTCCGTGGGGTGTCCATGGTGGGCTTTGGGGTATTTTTGGGGTTCAGAGGGGTATTTTTGGGGTACAGAGGGGTGTTTTTGGGTTACAGGGGGGTATTTTTGGGGTACAGAGGGGTATTTTGGGGGTTCAGAGGGGTATTTTTGGGGTGCAGAGGGGTGTTTTTGGGGGTCCCACCTCCCCCACCATGCCGTTCCAGACGCCATCGATCTTCTTGCCGTGTTTGCCGTTGGTGACCAGGTACAGGTCGTAGGTGAAGCCCAGGGCCCGCGCCAGGCGCTTCAGGATGTCGATGCAGAAACCTTTGCAGCACTTCTTCTCGAAGGGCGGGGGGCTGCAGGGGACCCCAAAAGTGGTGGGGACACCCCCAAGCTCCTGGGGACACCCCCAGACTGCTGTGGACACCCCCAAGGTGGTGGGGATGCCCCCAGGGTCTTGGGGACACCCCCAAGCTTGTGGTGACACCCCCAGGGTCTTGGGAACACCCGCAAGGTGGTTGGGACACCCTCAGAGTGGGGACACCCCCCAGGATCCTGGGGAAACCCCCAAGGTGGTGGGGACACCCCCAGGGTCTTGGGGGACACCCCCAGATTGGGGACAACCCCAGGGCAGTAGGAACAAACCCAGGGTAGTGGGACACCCCCAAAGTGACAACAGCGTTGGGTTGGGGACACCTCCAAAGTGTTGGGGGACACCCACCTGGCAGTGCCAACCCCCAGGTGTCCCAGGTGTCCCCCCCTGGCAGTGCCACCCCTACCACTCCCAGGTGTCGCCCACGCAGACAGTGCCACCCCCAGGTGTTCCAGGTGTCCCCCACCTGTCCCAGGTGTCCCCCACTAGGCAGTACCACTCCCAGCTGTCCCCCAGCTGTCCCAGGTGTCCCCCAGCTGTCCCGGGTGTCCCCCAGGTGTCCCTGGTGTCCCCCACCTGGACAGTGCCACCCCCAAGTGTCCCAGGTGTCCCCCAGCTGTCCCGGGTGTCCCCCTGGTGTCCCCCAGGTGTCCCTGTGTCCCCACCTGGCAGTGCCACCCCCAGGTGTCCCTGGTGTCCCCCACCTGGACAGTGCCATCCCCACCTGTCCCAGCTGTCCCCCCGGTGTCCCAGGTGTCCCCCAGCTGTCCCCCCGGTGTCCCCACCTGGCGGTGCGGTTGAGCTGGCGCCGGCAGGGCACGGAGTCGCGGATGCAGGTGCCGGTGGCGGGGTCGATGTTCTCCACGATGACAAAGGGACGTTCCTCCAGCGTGGCCACTGTCAGGTGCCGCCCGTCCTCCACGGGCTGCAGGAAGCGCCCGTAGCGCGACCACACCGGGTACTTGAGCCTCAGCACCTGCTGCTCCCAGCTGCCCACCTGGGGGGACACGTGGGGACACGTGGGGACACGTGGGGACACGTGGGGACACGTGGGGACACGTGGGGACAGGTCATTGTGTCACCATGATGGGATGTCACCATTGACAGTGTGACCACACTGGGTACTTGAGGCTCAGCACCTGCTGCTCCCAGCTGCCCACCTGGGGGGACACGGGGACACGTGGGGACACGTGGGGACATGTGGGGACACGTGGGGACACGTGGGGGACACCCAGAGGGTGACAGGCCAAGGTGTCACCATGATGGGATGTCACCATGGCAAGGTGTCACTGCTAGGGACAGTGATAGTGGGCAACAGGCAGAGGAAATGTCACCGTGCCAGGGTGTCACGCTGGGGACAATGATGCCACCACTCTGGTAGGGAAATGGTGGGGAACGGGACAAGGTGTCACCACTGTCACCACATGGCAAGGTGTCACTGCTAGGGACAATGATAGGGTCTCCTCAGTGGGCAACAGGCAGAGGAAATGTCACCGTGCCAGGGTGTCACCCTGGGGACAATGATGCCGTCACCGTGGTGGGGAACAGGCCAAGGTGTCACCATGAGGGGACAATGACAGGATCACCTTGATGGGAAACCAGCCAAGGTGTCACCGTGACAGGGCAGGAGGCTGAGCCGTGTCCCTGTCACTGCTCAGATGTCACCGCCACCCCCGGGTGCCACGTTGTTGTGACAACACAGCGTGACAGCGCGATGAGGGGGCGGGATGGTGAAGAGCAGATGGCACCGAGCCCTGGGGACCCTGTGGTGGCATCGTCACCATGCCCAGAACTGCAACACTGAGCAGACAGGAGACATCCCTGTCCCCAAGGGTGACATCCCTGTCCCCAAGGGTGATACTCACCACCTCCCAGGTGCGCTCCTTGTTGAGGGAGATGACGACCAGCGAGGGGTTCACCAGGTACCCGTCCTCGTTGAAGGAGAAATCCTTCTGTCCCCACGTGATGTTCATGAAGTACCTGTCCAAGCCCACCCCGAGAGCGGCCAGGGTCACCTGCATGTCCCCAACCCGACCTCGAGTGTGTCCAGGGTCACTTGGATGTCCCCAGTCCAACCAAACCCCAATCGCAACCATGTCCAGAGTCACCTGGATGTCCCCAACCCGACCTCAAGTGTGTCTAGGGTCATCCAACTGTCCCCAACCTAACGCCAGCCATGTCTAGAGCCACCTGAATGTCCCCAGCCCAACTGTCCCCAACTCAGCTGTCCCCAACCATGTCTAGAACCACCTAAATGTCCCCAAACCAACTGTCCCCAACCCAACTGTCCCCAGCCTAACCTCAACCATGTCTAGAGCCATGTCTACAGCCATCTGAATGTCCCCAACCCAACTCCAACCATTTCTAGAGCCACCTGAACATTTCCAACCCAACTGTCCCCAATCCAACTGTTCCCAACCACATCTAGAACCACGTAAATGTCCCCAAACCAACTGCCCCAACCCAATTGTCCCCAACCCAACTGTCCCCAACCTAACCCCAACAACGTCTAGAACGACCTGAATGTCCCCAACCCAACTGTTCCCAACCATGCCTAGAACAACCTAAATGTCCCCAAACCAACCAGGTCTAGAACCACCTGAACATTCCCAACCCAACTGTTCCCAACCATGTCTAGAACCACCTAAATGTCTCCAAATCAACTGCCCCAACCCAATTGTCCCCAACCCAACCGTCCCCAACCTAACCCCAACCATGTCTAGAACCACCTGAATGTCCCCAACCCAACTGTTCCCAACCAGGTCTAGAACCACCTGAACATTCCCAACCCAACTGTCCCCAACCCAACTGTTCCCAACCAGGTCTAGAACCACGTGAACATTCCCAACCCAACTGTCCCCAACCCAGCTGTCCCCAACCCAACCCCAACCCCATCTAGTGCCACCAGCACCTCCCCAACATCCCCAAACCCCAACTGCCTCGCCCCCAGCAGTGCCACGCCCCCAGCAGCGCCGCCCCCGCCCCACCTGTGCAGGTTGTCGTTGATCTGGGTGACGTTGGGCGCGCGGCAGTCGTTGTTGAACTCGGGGATGAAGCCGTAGTCGCGCAGCAGCGCCTCGGCGCCCTTGGCCACGATGGCCACGCCGTTGTGCACGCGGTGCTGCAGGTCGTCGCGCCAGCCGGCCGACAGCACGGCGAACAGCCCGGCGGGCACGTGCTCGGGCAGCTGCTCGCTGCCCCCCAGGTTGGTGCCCACCACGAACCAGATGTAGCCGGGCCCGGTGAGGCCGGCGTCGCGGGCGGCGCGGAACACGGCCTCGGCCTCGTCGCGCGAGCAGTAGAGCAGCCGGATCTGCGCCGTCACCTCGCGCAGCTGCCGGCGCGTCCGCGCGCCCTCGGGGTCGTCGGTCAGGTTCAGGGTGACCACGCCGCGGTGCTCCCAGCCGATGAAGCTGCTGTCGGTCAGCACCTCCACGTAGTCCACGAAGTCCTCGTAGCCGGGCAGCAGCGTGGTGACCACGGCGAAGGCCGTCCAGTCGTACTCCTCCAGCACCTCGAAGATCACCTGGAGCTGCTGCTCCGTGGAGGAGCCCAGCTGCAGGAAGGTGGAGCCCTTCTCCTGTGGAGGGGGGGAATGGGGAAGGCGTGGCGGGGGAGGGGACACAGGTTGGGGACAGTCACGTTGGGGACAGCTGGGTCACACTAGACGTGGTTGGGGTTAGGGGCCGTTGGGTTGAGGATGGTCAAGTGAGGATAGAACGTGGTTGGGTTTGGGGACAGTTGTGTGAATCTACACATGGTTGGGGATGTTTGGGTGACTCTAGACACAGTTGGGGTTGGGGACATTCAGGTGGCTCTAGACAGTTGGGATTTGATAAGAGTTGGAGACATTCAGGTGGCTCTGGACACAGCTGGGGACAGTTGTGTGCCCCTAGACACAGTTGGGGACATTCAGGTGGCTCTGGACACAGCTGGGGTTAGGCTGGACACAGCTGGGTGACACAAGACATGGCTGGGGTTGTGTTGGGGACAGCTGGGTGGCTCTGGACACAGCTGGGGACATTTGGGTGACCCTGTACAGGGCTGGGGTTGGAGACAGTTGGGATGAGGACAGCCGGTTGGTTCCAGATCCACCTGGGGACATTCGGGTGTCCCTAAACCCGCCCGGGGTCATCCCGGGGCGTCACCTTGGGCGTGAGGACGATGGCGGAGCCGCCGTTGACGCCGATGATGGGCACGGAGGTCTGGGCCGAGATGAAGTCGAGGATCTGCGCCACGGCCTCGGAGCGCGTGTCGTCCTCGAAGACGACGCCGTGGATGCGCAGCGAGGACAGCACGTCGCACAGGCGCACGATCAGGCTGCGCGGGTTGGTGTCGTTCAGCACCACCCCCACGGGGTTCACGTCCAGAGAGAAGTTCCGGAAGGTTCCGGGCGCCAGGCGGGGCCCGGCGGGGCCGTAGGAGGCCCCGCTCAGGATCACGGCCACGTTGAGCGTGCGGCGCGGCGCCGCCGGCGGCTCCAGGAAGGGGCTGGCGCAGGCCAGGGCCAGGGCGAGCAGCATCCTGCCGGCGGGGACGGGCACCGGGGGGCTCATCGCGCCACCGCCGCTGCGCCCTGCGGGGACACGCCGGGGACGGGGTCACCCGGGCACAGCAGTGCCCACCGGTGCCCACCGGTAACCCACCAGCAACAGGGGAGGGGCAGGCATGGAGATACTGATACCAGTGCTCACCAGTAACCACCAGTGCCCACCAGTAACCACCAGTGCCCACCAGCAACAGGGGAAGGTCAGGCATGGAGATGCCAGTGCTCACCAGTAACCACCAGTACCCACCAGTAACCCACCAGCAACAGGGGAGGGTCAGGCATGGAGATACCAGTGCTCACCAGTAACCACCAGTGCCCACCAGTAACAGGGGAGGGTCAGGCATGGAGATACCAGTGCCCACCAGTAACCACCAGTGCCCACCAATGCACACCAGTGCACACCAGTGCCCACCGGTGCCCACCGGTAACCCCCCAGCAACAGGGGAGTGACACAGAGATATCAGTGCCCACCAGTACCCACCAGTAACATCCCAGTAACCCCCCAGCACCAGGGGAGGGGAGAAATGGTGGTAATGGTGCCCACCAGTGCCCACCAGTGCCCACCAGTAACCTCCCAGCAACAGGGAAGGGGAGAAATGGTGATAATGATGCCCACCAGTAGCCACCAGTAATCATCAGTACCCACCAGTAACCTCCCAGCAACAGGGAAGGGGAGAAATGGTGATAATGATGCCCACCAGTAGCCACCAGTAATCTCCAGTAAGCCCCAGTAACCCTCCAGCAAAACGGGGGGTCAGACACAGAGATATCAGTGCCCACCAGTACCCACCAGTACCCACCAGTGCCCACCAGTACCCACCAGTGCCCACCAGTAACCTCCCAGCACCAGGGGAGGGTCAGACATGGAGATATCAGTGCCCACCAGTAAATACCAGTGCCAACCAGGAACCACCAGTGCCCACCAGTAACTTTCCAGCACCAGGGGAGGGGAGAAATGGTGGTAATGGTGCCCACCAGTGCCCACCAGTAGCATCCCAGTAACCCCCCAGCACCAGGGGAGGGGAGAAATGGTGGTAATGATGCCCACCGGTGCCCACCAGTGCCCACCAGTGCACACCAGTGCAGCCCAGTAAGCCCCCAGCACAAGGGAAGGGTCAGGCATGAGGGGAAATGGTGGCAATGGTGCCAACCAGTGCCCACCAGTAATCCCAGTAACAGCCCAGCACAAAACCCTGTTGCCATTCTGAAAACAGCGGGGACCAGCTGCTGTCACTGTCCCCACAATGGTGGGGTGACAAACCCGTGCTGGTGGGTGACAAACCCCTGTCACTGTCCCCAGAGCAACGAGGACAAAACCCTGTCACTGTCCCCAAAACAGCAGGGGACAAACCTGTACCAGCGGGTGACAAACCCCTGTCACTGTCCCCAGAGCAACGAGGACAAACCCCTGTCACTGTCCCCACAACAGCAGGGACAAACGCCTGTCACTGTCCCCATAACAGCAGGGGACAAACCTGTACCAGCAGGTGACAAACTCCTGTCACCATCCCCAAAGGAATGGGGACAAACCCCTGTCACTCTCCCCAAAACGGCAGGAACAAATCTGTGCCAGCAGGTGACAAACCCCTGTCACTGTCCCCATAACATCAGAGACAAACCCCTGTCACTGTCCCCAGAACGGCAGGAACAAACCTGTGCCAGCGGGTGACAAACCCCTGTCACTGTCCCCAAAGCAACGGTGATAAACCCCTGTCACTGTCCCCAAAACAGCAGGGACAAACCCCTGTCACTGTCCCCAAAGCAACGGGGACAAAGCCCTGTCACTGTCCCCAAAACAGGAGGGACAAACCCCTGTCACTGTCCCCAAAGGGACGGGGACAAACCCCTGTCACTGTCCCCAAAACAGCAGGAACAAATCGGTGCCAGCGTGTGACAAACCTGTGTCATTGTCCCCAGAATAGCAGGGACAAACCTGTGCCGGTGGGTGACAAACCCCTGTCACCATCATCCCCAGAACAGCAGGAGGGGACAAACCCACGTCCCCATCCCCACACCAGCGAGGACAAACTGTCCCCGTGCCGGAGGGGGACACAACCCCCTTGTGTCATTGTCCCCGCAGCGGCAGCAGACAAAGCTGTGTCACCGTCCCCGTGACAACGGGGTGACAAGTCAATGTCCTCACCCCCTCCGTCTCCCCCCGGGCGACACCGGCTGTGTCCCCTCCGTGTCCCCACCCCCTGGTGCCACCCCCCGTGTCCCCTCCGTGTCCCCCTCCAGGTCCTACCTGGCCCGAGCTCCTCTCCGGGGGGCTCAGCCTCATCTCGGCCGGGGGGGACGACACGGAGGGGACACTGGGGGGGTTGGGGACACTCTGGGGCTTGGGGACACTGGGGGGCTTGGGGACACTGGGGAATTTGTGGCAGCACCTGGGGAAGGAGGGGACAGTGAGTGGGAGGCCCGACCCTCCCCCCAAAAGCCCCAGAACCCCCAAATGCCCCCCAAAATATCGGATCCCCCCCCAGCTCTCAACACCCCACTGAGGATCCCAGTTTACCCAGTTGGTCCATCCTGGGCCCCCCAGTCCACTTCCAGTTCGCCCAGTTGGATCCCAGCACCCCCAGTGCCACTCTGACACCCCCCAGCTGGATCCCAGTCCCTCCCAGTCCCCCAAACTGGTCACCAGTGCCCTCCCAGTTAAACTCCAGCATCCCCCAGTCCTTCCTCCCATTCCACAGCCCCGAGCTGGGTCCCAGCTCCTCCCAGTTCCCCCAGTATCCCCCACTCCACCCCAAATCCCTCCCAGTCCCCCCAATTCCATTCCAGCCCCAAATCCCTCCCAGTCCCCTCAGTATCCCCCATTCCACCCCAAATCCCTCCCAGTCCCCCCAGTATCCCCCATTGCAGCCCCAAACCCTCCCAGTTCCCCCAATTCTATTCCAGCCCCCCCAGTTCCTCCCAGTTCCCCTCCCATCCCTTCCCAGTGCCTCACAGTGAGACCCCAGCATTCCCCAGTTCCCCCCTCTCCCATTCCAGTCCCTCCCAGTTCCCCCAAATCCCATTCCACTCCCTCCCAGTTCCCCCTTCTCCCATTCCACTCCCTCCCAGTTCCCCCAAATCCCATTCCACTCCCTCCCAGTTCCCCCTTCTCCCATTCCACTCCCTCCCAGTTCCCCCAAATCCCATTCCAGTCCCTCCCAGTTCCCCCAGTTTCCCCCAGTCCCCTCAACTGGGTCCCAGCCTCCTTTCCATCCCCTCCCAGTTCCTCCAGTCCCACTCCAGCTCCCCCAAACTGGGTCCCAGCTCCCTCCCCATCCCCCCCCCACCCCCCCCCCGCTCCCCCCGGCCCCC